GGGGTAGTGTCATATGCATGTTGGTTAACTTCCGGCCCATCCAATTTCATGCCTCACGCTTCCCCCCGTCTTATGTCTCGCCCTTTGGGGGCTTTGAGGTCCATTGTTTGGCCCATGGTCCCTTTCTCTGCAGCTTGTTCCTGTTTGTGCTTTTGTCTCGGGACCGTTCCTCCATATGTGGAGTCAGTGCTTTGCCCAGTTGTTGACTTGTGAAGGTTCTTTATCTTCCTTTGCCCTGCTCAATGATGGGCAATTCTTTGCTCTTATACTCCGTTCGAGGCAGTGCTTGCCTATTGCTCCCTTGTGCAGGCCATTTTCCAGAAGTGGTTGCCTGCCTCGCTTCCCCTGCAGCCGAGAGGTGGCATCGGAAAGAAAGGCTAGAGGGTATCGTTGGGGAGGCCTCTTCGCCCCATCCGTTGCCCTTACCTCCCCTTCGGGTCCTCCTGGCCCTTGAACCGCCAGTACCTCAAAGCCACTTTCTCCTGTGCGCCATAGTTCGCGCCCCTAGGCTTCAGAACGGTCTCAGCGAGGGCCTAACCGAGTGCTGTCAGCCTCTTGGTCCAGTACATGGAACCTTTCTACCGCGCCGGGCGAACCCGCGAATGCGCGCAGGGCTACCGGTCGTTGAATGCCCCTTCTATCGTATCTTCTGCTTCGGTATAAAGTTACTATAAACGCGTTTAATCGGAAAGATAAGTGGCAGAAAGAACTATGGACTGAGAATAAGTAATGGATTAGCTGCAAACATTGGGAACCTATGGTTCAATACAGCGAGGTGGCTTCTAGTCTGTAGGCTGTCAGCATTATTGAGTAGTATGGAGGGTGCAGAGATTCAAATGGATGACTTGGTTGTGGTGCGTACACTCATGAGGATGCAAAGAGAAGTTTCAAAAACACACTCAGATGACTGACTCTTCGGTTTTCCACTACTGTTGGCAGTTCCCAAATCATCTCGTCTTGCTTTGTCTCTGTAAGTTTTTTTTCCCCCGAGTACTGAAAGCTGTGCGATGTTCATTGAAAGGTTGTCTGATCTGTTCCATGGAGAGATCAGCGGTGTGTGTGTGCTGTCTCTTATACACATCTAGATGTGTATAAGAGACAGGTTTTGGGGTCCTCTGGGAGAGCATAGAAAGACA